TCAAGTGCATTTAGCGATTTTTACTATGGAAAATTCTTGTCGTAAACGATTTTTTGACCAAACACGCCCCACTTTCATCGCTCAGGCACCATATTCGCCAGATCTGGATCCGTGCGATTTTTTCCTGTTCCTGAAACTCAAATTGCCCCTTCGTAGTAAGCGTTTTGAGTCGATTGAATCGGTAAAAGAGAATTCGCTGAAGGAACTAAAAGCCATACCTTTACGGGCCTACAAGAAGTGTATGGAAGATTGGATTAAGCGTTGGGATATGTGTATCGCTTCAGAAGGAGCATATTTTAAAGGACATAAAATAAATTTGGAATAAAATTTAAATTTGTGTGTTTTATTTACGAAATCCGTGTACTTTTTGATTAAGATTATTCTCTTTAATGTGTTACATTCATATTTTCAGTTCTTCAAATATTTAGTACACTAGTATATGGTTGAAGTGATTTGGTTGCTAAATGCATACCTGCTTGTAGAAGTTTATTCTGAACATCGTCTTTTCATGCTAATCTGCTTGTGTTAAATTTGTTGATGCAATATCGTTTTTACTATTTTAAGATAACTTTAAGATTTACTTGAAATACTTTAAAATAATCACAAAAATAAAAAACAAACAATAAACACATTAAAAAATTTCTTTACTTTAACTTTTCTAGGTCATTAAGGCTACATTTAAAAAATTACTCCCTTTAGAGATTAATCGTTACAAATAAAATTCGCATTTCGTAAACTATTTAACATTTTAAGAATGTTAATCAGTTAAAAAACTTTATCAAGAAATTAAGCAAATATTTGCGCAAAATATTTTTTCGATTATAGTGATTAACTTCTGTTTATGTAAACGAAAAACAGTTGACCAATTTTTCGTTTGTGGTAAACGAAATAGTTCTCTGGGTATGACTATCATTTAATGTTCTGAATTTAAGACATGATTATGTGTTATATTTTTAATTCTATCCTCACAAATTTTTTCAAAATTTCTTTTATTCCCTCCATAATATCGTTCTTTATACCTGAATATCGCATACTTGGTAAAAGGGTTTAACGCTATAAAGAGTCTAAACAATTCAAATCTTAATCCCACTTTATTCCTTAATAAAGGAACCGGTATATACTCCGCTTGTTGTCAAAAGTTTAGCGGCAACAATCAAGAGTTTTATTATTATGTTGAGGCTAGTTGAGTCAGTGCATTTAAGCATTTTTACTCTGTATTAACGGTGAGGTTTCTGCATAACCACTCTCTACGTCTTGACTGGATTATTGTTTATCACTTCATCAGACTAAGCAATAATTGACCTCAGGTCTGCGTACCTTCTCAAGTAGCCTGTTACCATTCTGAGATTCGATAACGCGGTGTTGGTAAGTTTTAATTACTCATAATTACATAAAATATTGGTCAAATTTTAAGTCAAATGTATGTCCAAAAATATTTTGTACTTCCCAATCTAAACGCTAAATCCCGTTTAGTTATCTTTGGTTATCTTTTGATAGCTTTAAGTGAACACTAGCCTCAACACAAGTTCTTCAGGTACTTAATTTGTCAATTTTTGCCATTAACAAGAGCACCACGCCGAGTGGATTTAGTCGATAGTCACAAATAAGTGTACTTCCTGTCTATAAAAAGTTGAAATTGTGAAATAACAGCAGTAGAAGTTCCACTGTAAGAGCGTTTAATGTTTCTTAATGACTTTTATAGCACGAAATTAACAAATTCAGAGACTAATTAAACGTTGTTGGCACACCGAGCACGTGCCTCCTACGATTTAAAAGGGCTTTAAGCTTTGCTCGTACAACAACAAAATTTACTTGACATAAGACATATTTTATCATATCATGTCTTAATCTTAATCTTCATTTAGTGAATTTATCTATATAAATAGTAAATTATGCCAAAAAAAAAAAATAAAATAAAAATAAATAATTGATTTTTATGTGCTTCCGTTGTTCATTCACTTTGTATTGTCCGCCGCAGTTGGAAAATAAAGAAATATTCTTTTAAATACTGACATATGCCGAGTATCTCAATCGCTGTTCGATATTCCCACATAACATAACGCCGATTTATAGAATATTTTCAGAAAACATAAGACATAAGACATATCAGAAATGCCAGAAATACGTTTGAGTGAGCATTCCATACAATTTGTTACTTATTCATTCAAGTATCTAGATGAATTTGATAGAAATGACATAGAAAAATCAATTTGAAGGCGAAACCCTCAAAGCGAAACCAATTTTCTATGGTTTTTATGAGTTGTGAATGAGTTTTTCTTTTTTATTAAACTTTATTTTTTTGTTTTTTTTTTGGTTGTTGGTTGTAGATATTTTATTTCGCAGTAAAAGTTTAACGTTTGTCCTTATGCAAAAGGCAGACAGACATTGAAGCGCAAATAAAAATTATGTACAAAAATTTACATTTGTATAGTCACTTCTGATGTTCTGCCGATTGTTAAGCTCTGAACATTTATTCAGTTCCACATAGATACATTTTATTAAATAAATTTAATGCGCTGCACAAATTTCGGATTCAATATCCTTGAGCGGGATGTATGCTAAGACATGCAAAAATGCCTGAAGTTCTCATCAAAACAAGGCATTAAGTTCATATATTAAGTAGAATGAGTTCCATTAATATCTTTTTACGGCCAAATTGAGTTTATTAATAAGCGGAAGGAAGGATGTAAAGTTTATGTTTAAGGATATTAAAAATCTGCGGTTGAAATATTCAATTACTTCGAGAAAAAATAATTTTGAGAACCTCTGAGGTTCAGAGTTATGTTAATACTTGCAATTAAGATTCAATTTATTATAAATATTTAAGCTAAAGAAAACTAGTACAAAACATATGAAATAAGACTTAACCCAGAAAGTTTCTACTGAATACTTAATAGTGAAGTTTTAATTAATGCTTAACTTCATTATTAAGTATTCAGTAAAAACTTTCTGGGTTAAGTCTTATTTCATATGTTTTATACTAATTTTCACAGACTTTGTATATTGTAAAGAATATTGATTAATAAATTATTAAGATTACTAATGATATCATATAGGCGTAGGTATTTAAGCGTAGAAATGGAATATTTGAAATATATCTCATGTTTACGTGCTGCATTTTTACAT